CCAAGATACACTATTATGTACCACAAACGACTCTCCTTACCTTGTACAACTCTCTAATATATCCTTACCTCACCTATGGTATCTGTGCCTGGGGCTCTACCACAGCCAGCCACCACCTTAGACCCTTAATAATCCAACAAAAAGCTGCTGTGCAGGTGATAACCAGCTCCTGTGCTAGACAGCACACCTCACCACTTTTCAAAAGACAACTTGCTAAATATACAAGACATACACTCTTATTATTGTGCCTACTACATATACAGAACTTTAAACTCCACTGTAAACCCCCCTAAAACTACTACTCGACAGTTACGACAGAATGCACAGTCACAATACAAGGCATAAGGCCCTTTTCAACATCCCTCGAGTAAAACTCACTATGCAAGAACGCTATGCACATAAAAGGCCCAAAGATCTGGAACTCGCTACCAGAACAAGTCAAGGATCCCCAGACAACTTATAAATTTAGGACTCTGCTAAAAAATCATCTTATTGCAAAATATTAACCAAATCAACCAAACATCTACTGGCTAGTTTTATCATGTGACCTGGCTTTTAATTCTGCCATTTCATAAAATATTACCACCTGTGCCATTCCTTGTAAATTAGATTTTGTATTAAGTATACATAAGATTAAGTCCAAACAAGATTGTAAAACAGCTAACCACTATTCTATGTTTAGCTTTAAGTAATAATTACTATGTACTATTATCTTATCTAGTTTTAGTTACTGTGTATTAGGATTAGTTTGCCCGAAATGCCTCGGCATGATAGTGGCTATCTTTGTACTTAGCAAATTAAAATTGTAATTACACATTGTAACCTTTACAAAGAAATAAAATTATTATTATTATGATGTTGACAGTTGTGTTGTAGTTGAAGGGAGTCAATATTTTCCATTAGGAAATTGATGGGGTCTGCATGTTGCCACTGAGATCTGTACATTGCACATGCAAGTACAGAGGTACTAGTGTTTATGCAGAGCTTGAAGAACATCATTTCAAGATGAGTAGGGGTGCCAACATCAATGTGCTGGGCATGAACACTTTTAGAGAAGCACACAATAACAACACCTCCTTGCCCTTGCCTGTCTCTTCTCATCCATGAGGTGTAGCCAGCAATTCTTGCAAAATTTTCTGGAGTCCTGTCCAAAAATGTTTCAACAACAGCTATCATGTCGGGACGTTGAGTGTTCACAAAACTGTGTGAGCTCTCCAACATTAGTAATGAAACCTCTAATGTTAGCCGACAGGTTGCTGATAGACTGGCTCCTCATGATGTGGTCAGCTTGAGGTGGTGGGTGTGTAGGGCATGTAAGGTGCCTGCCCTTAAGAGAGGTAGGGTACTGAGGCAGCTGCAGGGATGTAGGTCTGTGGTCTTGTATAAGGCACAATAACACCTACTGGGCTGAGATAGGAGTAGCTGAGTGGGTGACTTGTGAGACTGTGCACCAGTTCAGAGATCCTGCTGGTTTGTTCCGAGAACAGGTCTCTAAACAGGTGGTCCTGTCTGTCAAGTTTCTTTTTCTTCCGACACTGGTCCTCCTGATGTCCTTTCTTGTAGCAGTAATTGTACCTGGTACCTTGCAGGCAGTTGTTGGCGGTGTGCCCCTTCCGGTGATAGCGAGAGCACTGCCTAGGTGCCTGGGAGGGTGGGCTATGATTTGTTGCACCTCCTGTGTTCTGCCGCTGGGACTGTGTTAGTGGAGGGTGAGATGGCTGTAGATGTCTTCCTCCTCCACATCCTCTACCAGTTCTGACAGATGTGTCCCTGCTGTTTGTACTTTGGCACAGTAGGTGTCCAGGTGCAGTGATAGTTCTCTGATTAACTGCACCAATCTCTGGTGGAGAAAATCCTGACTCAGAACTTGCCGATGAAGCACTGCTGCCAGATGCTGGAATAGTGTTGGCAGGTGTGCTGACAGGTGTAGGATCAGAGATGGTATGTGCACTGTCTAGTGTACTGGCAGTGGCTAAAGCAGAGATGTCAGGTGTAGGAGAATTAACAGATCCAAGGCTTCCTTCGTTGCTGGGAAAAGGATTTGTTCCCTCTGTGGTGGTCAGAGGAATTGTGTTAGAATTCCCAAAGGTAGTGTCCTGAACTCTGTCAATCTGTGGGGCCTTAGCGATGACAGAAGTCCACCAGTTATTTACCCCTGAGTTAAGCTCAGTGTGGGACTTCCAGTCTTTGTCAATAGTGTCACCATCAGCTGAGCAGCTTGCGTCACTTGATGTAGGCTTGCACTGGCCTTCTACAATAGCTTGAAGGTTATCTAATGATTTGAGGAGCTCATGAAGTGCTTCCCTGTGATGGATTATCTTAGCTGCGACTTTACAAAAAAAATTGTGCTCATTACTTACCGAGATATAGAGGCATAAAGTTGGCAGGAAATGAGCCGCGTATGGCAACAGCGGCAAATGCCTCTCACCCGGTAAACTTTGTTTTACTCCCATTCGAAGGTATCTTGCTTTTTCCACTGCTTCATTTTTTCAGGTAACTTATGTGGCCTGTGAGACCAAAGTAAGGTGCAATGTACATATATACACTCATTGTATACAACACAATAAATGCACAAACATAATTATCAATATATTGTTTACACCTAGGTAGTAGGTTGGTAGACAGCAACCGCCCAGGGAGGTACTACCGTCCTGCCAAGCGAGTGTAAAATGGAAACCTGTAATTGTTTTACATGATGGTAGGATTGCTGGTGTCCATTTTCCTGTCTCATAAACATGCAAGGTTTCAGGTACGTCTTGCTACTTCTACTTACACTTAGGTCACACTACACATACATGTACAAGCATATATGTATATACCCACCCCTCTGGGTTTTCTTCCATTTTTCTTACTAGTTCTTGTTCTTGTTTATTTCCTCTTACCTCCACGGGGAAGTGGAACAGAATTCTTCCTCCGTAAGCCATGCGTGTTGTAAGAGGCAACTAAAATGCCGGGAGCAAGGGGCTAGTAACCTCTTCTCCTGTATATATTACTAAATGTAAAAGGAGAAACTTTCGTTTTTCCTTTTGGGCCACCCCGCCTCGGTGGGATATGGCCGGTGTGTTGAAAGAAAGAAAGATATTGTTTACAAAACTTGTTTACACAAACAATACAAAAAATTTTTTATTACTATTGTTCTACAATATATATACAAATGTACAGGCTGGAAGTGTTCCTAGAAGTTCTGCAGCTTGTGGAAACTCTTTGAAACATGGGTGATGCACAATGGTGTTTTACACTCCTCACACATAAAACGAGTGTGTCTGCATTTTTGTGGGCATTTTTTGTGTATATGCACAGACAAAACACCTCGTCTGAGCAGTTTTCTTCATAGTAGTAGCAGACAATTGTGTTTATTATTTTTTTTTTTCAACAAACTGGCCATATCCCACCAAGGCAGGGTGGCCCAAAAAGAAAAACGAAAGTTTCTCTTTTTAAATTTAGTAATATATACAGGAGAAGGAGTTACTAGACCCTTGCTCCTGGCATTTTAGTCGCCTCTTACAACACGCATGGCTTACGGAGAAAGAATTCTCTTCCAGTTCCCCATGGAGGTAAGAGGAAATAAACAAGACAAGAACTAGTAAGAAAATAGAAGAAAACCCAAAGGGGTGTGTATATATATGCTTGTACATGTATGTGTAGTGTGACCTAAGTGTAAGTAGAAGTAGCAAGACGTACCTGAAACCTTGCATGTTTATGAGACAGAAAAATGGACGCTTCCTTCCTACCTACGTACCTACCTTTCCTTCTTCATTCTGGTTTCTATAATATATATATACATATATAGTCACTGGACACTTTCATATAACTGCTATTATCTTCAGCAAGTTTGTGTTGTGTGTGCGAGTGTATGGACTTCTAAATGTGCCGAATCAGGGTCCAACAGCTGTCAAAATGGCATGTTGTATCATTACTCACTCCCCCTACTGCCTGTCAAAACAATGGGGTCTGATGCTTGCTTCCCCTCCATCCTCCTACCTAATTATCTTCTGGTACCTAATTAGCTTTCAGCCACAAACTCCTCAAAACTATGAAATTGATCTTCACTGACACTTCCACCTGTGTAAGAGTGATCACTTGGGAAGAGGAGTCCCAGATTTGCTGGGGAGTCACATATTTCTTACCGCTAGGCATGCTGAACAAGGACTACTGAAATGGAATTCCCACAATGCACCATTGGCTCCCTGATTTTTTTTATATGGCACACATTGACCATGGAGACCCATTCTCTCATATGTGGGCCTACTAGCTTTCTCCTACTTGATTTGACGCAGCTAGAATTTTGGCGTATTAATACATCAAACACACTGGCTCGTTAGACGTATATATATGACCGAAAAGTCAAAGGGTTAATAAAAATGTAAATTGTCTAAGTGAAAATCATAATAAAATGCCTGTTTGTTTTCTATACTTCACATAAAACTTTTTAACTAATTGCAAAGTACAAACTAGCTTCTTGACCAGTGAATCTGAAAATTTTTGGTTTCAATCTAAAACATTTCATTCGAATACTATAATTTCTTCTTTTCAGGATTAGTAGTGTATATCTATAAACACTCTTGAAGGGAGGTGCCTTGATGCTGGTGAACGGGTTGTGATTCAAGGAACTGGATTTAGCTTCCTCTTCCTTGAGATCCGTACAGGTTTAGCACTGCTCCGAATGCAATAATTCCTCTTCCATTGATCAATCCTGAATGCCTCCTATTCCCCAGGCAATATATGAACCCTACAGGTTTAAAGTACATTATAAACTACTGGCATTATGTAGTGCTCGAACTATTACATTCATAGGGGGAGTGTGAAACCCTTAGAGGTCACACAGCACCTGGGGAAATGGAAAGCATTCAGACTCGATTCAAGGAATTGGAACACAGGTCCAATTCCCTAGATCTAAAGCCCCCTCACCAGCATCAAGGTACCTCCCTGGAAGAAAAGTGCCCAGCATAAATAAGGCAAAATATGATGCTACATGTAAATAAAGGTAATGGAGAAAAAAGTTCTAATGAATTTTATTGAAATTCATGTGCATATTGTAAATGATGGCTATCAGCTCAGTTAAATGTAATGAATGCCTTTTGATCTGTATAATCTTATACAAATAATGAAAAGTATATACAGTTTTTCCAAGATAACCATTGGAGTATTATAAAATAAACAAATTAATGGGATAGATTCAATATATTCACAAGATTCCCAGTAAATGCACAATGGTGTGCCTCAATCAGATGCATAAGTTAGAAAAGAACTTACCATTAACACTCATAATACAAAGGCTTTGATATTTCTAAAGTATAAAATGACTTTAGCTACTGATATAAAGAGCATACAAGTGGAGAGAGGGCAGCAGCATTCATTAATTTGCACTAGAAATATCTTTAGTGGATTCTTCAAATGACCTTGTTTATTTTGCCATTACAAGGATAAAGATGAGTTTCATTGTGGGCATTGGACCTTTTTTTTTTTTTTTTTTTTTTTTTTTTTTTTTTTTTTAAAAACTTGCACTTTTGCTCGAGCCAAGCTAGCTCGTCTGAGATTTGGTAAACTTTTTTTCCCCTCATTTATGCACCATAAGAGAAGTACAGTAATAAACTGCACTAATGACTGTTCCTATATATTTCAATATTAACACAATTTTGCAGTTCCATATTTACACCCCAAATATTTTAAAATGCACTAGTTCTGTAATAACAATTTGTAAAAATGTTTCAAATCCAAAATTTGTTTTTAAGGTGGAATATTTTTGATTCTGAGGCTGAAAGTATTCAGAGAATTGGCAAATAAGCATAATGTATGCTAGACGTACCACAGCACTAGAAATATAAAATTTAATTGAGAGGGGGCACAACATGTGGTTGGGATCACTGGCGTTTTGTCGTGATAGCTAGACAGTACTGTATGACACTTTGAATACCTGATGAATGGAATCATAATTGTGGTCACTGAATAATACAACAGGAGTCACTAACAGAAGCATACCTTCTGCTGCCACGTGATCAAACAAGTTCTCAAATACATACTACTGCTTTGGATGTTGAGAGAGCACCATAATAGATTTTTACACCTATATTGCATATTTCACTTATTAATTAGAGGAAAAGAAAACTTCTTTCCTAGCTAAAACCTTCACACTGGCTTGGTTTAAAAGCTCACATACACTGTACAACCTATAACAGGAATGCAGTTCCCAGATGTACATTTGCATTGTCTTAGTAAAAATGGAATGACATGATAATACCATCAGTCCTCAGCGTAGGTATGCAGGTCTCAACAGGTACACAAACTGCACATACAGTAACTAACTTTATTTCCTTTTGGATAATTATAAATGGCAAACCTTTAAATGTCTGCACATCCAAAAGGCACTGGCCCAGATAAGAAATGAACTTCAAGAGAAAAAAAAAAAATTAGGGGTGGAAAAAATCTGGGTGAGTTGCAAAGGATACCTGTTGGCCAAATGACTGCAGTGACTTAATGCTCACTGTAATACTATTCCTCTGTGTGATTGTATAAAAAAAAAAAAAAAAATTGCTTTAACCAGCTATGATGCTCCATCTTCATTCTCAATAGCAGCTCTATCAAACCCCAGCCCTATGTCATTTCTTCATACATACGCACATGCATCACTGTACACCACACTCGCCCTACTCTTTTGCAGACAGACATCTGAGGCTTTTATACTACATTCAACACATCATGTGCATAAAGTAACATTTCTCTGGGTTCAGATTTTCTCTCATTCAACAATACAATAAGTTTTAACAACAATTGTGATGCACTGCTTATTTTTTACTCATTTCTATATAAAATTTCTTGACTGCTTAAAAATAAAAATTAAATTATAGATCTGAATTGAGCAAGTACTGCAGAGTTTTCAAGATCTTGCTATAAAAATCAACAATTTCTGTTTGCTAAATCAAACAATATTTAACAAATTTCAAGTGTCCAATCACTTAAATATTTTCCACAATAATAAATTAGCGATGCCAAGTTAGGTGAATCATCCACGAAACCAACACACTTTGGCCCAACAGTAAAGCACAGCAAGCTTCACCACCCTAATAATGGAACAACAACAGAAATGGTTCTGAATGATGGTGGCTAAGCACTTAGTCTCTGTACACAGCCTTCAATGTATAACTACAGAGTCCAGGTAGCCACTGCATAGTGGTAAATCAACTGAAAGATGTCCATTCTCCTAAACAGCTTAACTTTATTAACCACTCAGTGGTGCTGATTAGACTAGTACTCTCTTTCACAGTACTTCTGAAACAGTTTACCATGGCAGTTGTTCAATTCTGAGTACCCAAGGAAGACTCCTTTGGTGATTAATATATACTGACATTGACAAACTGGTCTCTTGGTTTACCAGTTTGCCATGCCAGGTTTGTTGAGCGTCATAAAGTAAATTTGGCACGAAGATCCGCCTTTAGCTGATGAAAAGAATACCTGAAACAAAACAAATTTACACATGTAAATCAGTAATAAAATAAGCAGTCAGTCATAACAACTGATGTTTTTTTACCTTTAAGGCTTCCTGAAAATATTCAAAATTTTAATTATTAATATAATGATCAAGGTAAGCAATAATCCCAAAAGGGTTTATTGCCCAGCATAAACTGTAGATGAACAAGTACAGCAAACCCTAAAATAACACATTTTTGTGGTAATACAGTTGAGAAACTGGGGTATAAATTTGAATAAAATGTTGTAAACATTTTGATAAGGTGGCTCTGGCATGGTAACTCTATTCAGAGACTTATATAGCCTGTGTTAATAAAGCATATGCTGAAGTGACCTTAACCTCAACAGAAGAGTGACCCACAGATATCAGCTGACAAAACAGATGACTCGCAGCCTTCTAATGCTTGGTTGTCACATGACCATTTCCAAACAAGTATCAAGCAGCAGAACAAGGAATTTAATGAAGGATAAAATTCTTCCTTGCCATTATTATAAAAGACAAAATTGTGTGGCGAAATGTGTGTGGAATCAATTGATGAAATGTATGAATAGTATCAGCTAATAAAACAGACCACCCCAGCAGTCCACTGCACAAATGAGCTAAATAACAAATACAACAGTACAAATGCAAATTTTTATATCCTTGCAAGGTTACATTGAGATTACATAATTACAATAATGAGTTGCAGTGCAAAGAGCCAATATCATGCCATCGCATTATGGGCAGACTAAATTTAATGGCTTACAGACTACTTAATACTAGAGAAATTGATCATAGTTTGTTTAAGTTGTACATCTGTTTGTATTTATAGTAGACAGTAAGTTTACTCAAATTACAATCTTGGGATATTACATTGGGACAAGTCGAAAGTATTTTGTAGGTTGTGTATATCAATAGTAAATATTTTAATTATATTACCGGAATATAATATCGAGCATTGGCGAAAGTAGTTTACAGTATGAGAATGCTACAATTTAGTGTAAGACAGTATAGTTTTGGGCAGGTATTAGTAGTATTAAGTTACGTATGAACTTTGGGTATATAAATTTTGAAGTGATAAGATTCAGGTAATTGGGAGATCTTTTGGTAAAGTTAAGTATTGAGTGCTTAGTTTGGGGTGAGTAGGTGGTTTTTGAGAAGAGTCTTAAATTGATGTTCAGACCAGGTTACTTTAGTATTTACTGGTAATGAATTCCAAATTTTGGGGCCCTTTATATGCATAGAGGTCTTACACAGTGTGATGTGGACACTGGGTACATCAAAAAGTGATCTGTCCTGTGTTATGGTCGTGTGTCCTGTTAACCCTTAAATTGTCCAAACGTAGATCTACGTTTGCACACGCAGCGCTCCAAACGTTTTATTTTTCATTCTTTCAAATTTGGTGCAATAGGCTTGAGTCACCTAGACATGAAGGAATGGGTCTGTGCACTCAGTGTGCACATTATTAAAATAATCTGGGAGCACTTAGTACCTTGTGGGAGCACCAGTTCAATTGAGTGCCAGCTAGAGCAAATAGCATGGCAAACACCGGGGATTCACTGATGCCATGTCACACTAACACTCCCATTTTAAGAGGAAAGTAAAAATAGGTTAGATAAATATACGAGTGAGTGTGGGTGGGTGGGTGTGAGTTGGACCTGACTAGCTTGTGCTACTAGGTCTGATGTCATGCTCCTTCCTTCAATGGATGTGATCTGACTAGGTGGGTCATTGGTCTAAGCTGGGGTTGGGGGGGGAAGGACATGGACCTGCCTTGCATGGGCCAGTAGGCCTGCTGCAGTGTTCCTTCTTTCTTATGTTCTTATGTATTTGGCAGGCTGGCTGGCTGACTTGCTTTGGCTGTCTTGGCTGTCTCTCTATCTATATCTCTATCTGTCTATATGTCTATCTATATCTCTGTCTCACATGCACACATAAGTACAGTTATTATACATAGTGTAAATTACCTAGGATAACCCAAAAATTCCAAGCAATGATAGACAGAGAGATAGATGGATAGACAGACAAACATGTTTGTGTGTATCAGTGAAAACAAATAAAGCCAGGGTTCCCCAAGTGCCCATTTATCAAATGTCACTGGGCTGTCAAGTATAGGGATGCCTTTCATAACACCATGCTTCAAGGTATACACCAGGGTATATAAAACATTGCTGGGACCTATAAATACTTTGTATATATTTCTAGACAATAGTAAATAACCCAGGCAGGTGTAAATGTTTACCTGTCAATGTGATTGTGACTATTTGAGCAATATTTCAGTACCTAATATTAGTGTCAGAACAAAGATTGGCTATGAAATCACAAGAACTATTATAAATTGTAATTATCAGAACAAAAAATATATAAATTAAAATAAAAACGAGAAAAAAAGGTATATCGGCAACACTCCTGGAAGCGGCAGGAGTCGATGCTGTCGTCAGGTTAGCATCCAGAGCCAACTTCACTGTCTTAAATCTCGGTAAGTACTGAACCTAACAAAATTTTTTTAATCCTATAACATGTAGAAAAATGTGCTCTTCATTAAAAGAAAAAAAAAAAAAAATTCAAAACATTCGGAGCGCCACACGAGTGAACATAGATCTACGTTTGGACAGTTTAAGGGTTAAAGTTGGTGAGAAGTTTGAGTGGAGGGTTTATGTCTGAGTGCAGTGTTCTATGTATGTAGCAGGCACATGAATAAGTATGGATGTTCTTTATGGTGAGTAGTTTTAGACTTTTGAATATTGGTGGAGTATGCAATCTGGAGTGGGAATTTGTCATCATTCTGACTGCAGCCTTTTTCTGGGTCATTAGTGGTCTTAGGTGATTTAATGTTGTTGATCCTCATGCACAAATTCCATAGGTGAGATAAGGGTAGATGATTGAATGATATAGTGCAAGGAGAGCTGATTGTGGAACATAGTACAGTATCTTTGATAGTATGCCTACTGTCTTAAGAGATTTTCTTGGAAATTTGTTGTATGTGTGTCTAGAAATTGAGGCTACTGTCAAGGTAGATTCCTGGGAATTTTCCCTCTGAGTCTTGTGATGAGTGATCCATTTAGCAATATGTTAAGTGAAACATTTGTGGCTCTGTTTCCAGATTGAATGAAATAAGTTTTGTCAGTATTGAGAGTAAGCTTATTAGTCATCATCTAGGTAGATATTTTCTGCAATTCAGCATTAACAGTGTTGGCCAGTATGACTGGGTTTGGGTGAGAGAAGACGTATGTAGTGTCATCTGCAAATAATATGAGTTTGAGTAGTTGTGATGCATTTGGTAGGTCACTGATGTAAATGAGAAAGAGTGGGCCAAGGACACTTCCTTGTGGGACCCCGACTGTAATTGGTTGTGTGGAAGAGTTAGCTCCATTTGTGTACACGTACTGGCTAAGATATGACTTTCGGTAGTTGAAGGAGTGCACTTTTATACCATAGTGTGTTAACCTAATGTGCAGCAAATCATGGTCGACTGTATCAAAAGCTTTACGTAAATCAATGAAGATTCCCAGCGGGACTTCTTTTTTCTCGAGAGCAGTGTATATTAGTTCTAGCATGTGTATAATAGCATCATTTGTGCTTTCATTAATCCTGAATCCAAATTGACAGCGGTTGAGTATGTTGTGTGAGACGAGGTAGGAATAGATCTGCCTATGAATTAATTTTTCAAAGATTTTAGAGAGCAGAGGTAAGTTAGATATTGGTCTATAGTTATTCAAGTCTGCTTGATCTACTCCTTTGTGGATCAGGGTGACTCTTGCTATTTTGAAAATTGATGGGAAGGTGGAGGATTCAATGGATCTGTTAAAGTGTGTTGCAATAATTGGTGACAGTACTTGAGAAGCTTATTTGTACATAAAAGGTGGTAAGTTATTTATATCTCCTGCCTTGTTTTTAAGGGTGTTGATGATGAGCGAGACTTCTCTTGGGTTGGTTGGAGCTAGGAATAGTGTATTCGGGTAGATGCCCGTGAGGTAGTCTGATGAACAGGTGTTTGAGCTTGGGATTTTGCTCGCCAGATTCTTTTCTATGGTGGAGAAGAAAACACTGAGTCTATTTGCTGTATCAGTTGGTAGGAGTAGGGCTTTATCTGATTTTATTAATTTGAGTGTTTTGTTTTTGGATATCTTTTTAGTTCCTGGAATTTCAAATAGGATTTTCCAGGTCTTTTTCATATCACCTTTTATGTTATGTAATCTGTTCTCATAATACAATTTTTTTTACCTTCTTATCAGGCTGGTAAGGACTGATGAAAAACGTTTAGAATGGTCTCTGGTTATCTGACCCATTCTGTACTGTTTTTCATATAGGTGCTCTGTGTTAATGGATTTAAGGATGCTGGGTGTTAGCCAGGGACTGTTCAGTCTCTTAGCTATGATGTCAGTATAGCTACTGAATTCCCCTATATATGCTTGTGTAGTATATTGTAGATAACATCTATATAAGCGACTATTGGCAGAAAGGTGGGCTAGTGCAAAGATGAGTAGTGGGGGGGTTGAAGAGGGTTGGAATAGTTTTAAAAATGCAGTATTAGAATGTGGGGCAGAAGTTTGTGGTTATAGGAGGGTGGGAGCAGGAGGAAAGAGGAGTGATTGGTGGAATGATGAAGTAAAGGGTGTGATAAAAGAGAAAAAGGTAGCTTATGAGAGGTTTTTACAAAGCAGAAGTGTTATAAGAAGAGCAGAGTATATGGAGAGTAAAAGAAAGGTAAAGAGAGTGGTGAGAGAGTGCAAAAGGAGAGCAGATGATAGAGTGGGAGAGGCACTGTCAAGAAATTTTAATGAAAATAAGAAAAAATTTTGGAGTGAGTTAAACAAGTTAAGAAAGCCTAGGGAAAATATGGATTTGTCAGTTAAAAACAGAGTAGGGGAGTTAGTAGATGGGGAGATGGAGGTATTGGGTAGATGGCGAGAATATTTTGAGGAACTTTTAAATGTTAAGGAAGAAACAGAAGCAGTAATTTCATGCACTGGTCAGGGAGGTATACCATCTTTTAGGAGTGAAGAAGAGCAGAATGTAAGTGTGGGGGAGGTATGTGAGGCATTACGTAAAATGAAAGGGGGTAAAGCAGCTGGAACTGATGGGATCATGACAGAAATGTTAAAAGCAGGGGGGGATATAGTGTTGGAGTGGTTGGTACTTTTGTTTAATAAATGTATGAAAGAGGGGAAGGTACCTAGGGATTGGCAGAGAGCATGTATAGTCCCTTTATATAAAGGGAAAGGGGACAAAAGAGACTGTAAAAATTATAGAGGAATAAGCTTACTGAGTATACCAGGAAAAGTGTACGGTAGGGTTATAATTGAAAGAATTAGAGGTAAGACAGAATGTAGGATTGCGGATGAGCAAGGAGGTTTCAGAGTGGGTAGGGGATGTGTAGATCAAGTGTTTACATTGAAGCATATATGTGAACAGTATTTAGATAAAGGTAGGGAAGTTTTTATTGCATTTATGGATTTAGAAAAGGCATATGATAGAGTGGATAGAGGAGCAATGTGGCAGATGTTGCAAGTATATGGAATAGGTGGTAAGTTATTAAATGCTGTAAAGAGTTTTTATGAGGATAGTGAGGCTCAGGTTAGGGTGTGTAGAAGAGAGGGAGACTACTTCCCGGTAAAAGTAGGTCTTAGACAGGGATGTGTAATGTCACCATGGTTGTTTAATATATTTATAGATGGGGTTGTAAAGGAAGTAAATGCTAGGGTGTTCGGGAGAGGGGTGGGATTAAATTTTGGGGAATCAAATTCAAAATGGGAATTGACACAGTTACTTTTTGCTGATGATACTGTGCTTATGGGAGATTCTAAAGAAAAATTGCAAAGGTTAGTGGATGAGTTTGGGAATGTGTGTAAAGGTAGAAAGTTGAAAGTGAACATAGAAAAGAGTAAGGTGATGAGGGTGTCAAATGATTTAGATAAAGAAAAATTGGATATCAAATTGGGGAGGAGTAGTATGGAAGAAGTGAATGTTTTCAGATACTTGGGAGTTGACGTGTCGGTGGATGGATTTATGAAGGATGAGGTTAATCATAGAATTGATGAGGGAAAAAAGGTGAGTGGTGCGTTGAGGTATATGTGGAGTCAAAAAAACGTTATCTATGGAGGCAAAGAAGGGAATGTATGAAAGTATAGTAGTACCAACACTCTTATATGGGTGTGAAGCTTGGGTGGTAAATGCAGCAGCGAGGAGACGGTTGGAGGCAGTGGAGATGTCCTGTTTAAGGGCAATGTGTGGTGTAAATATTATGCAGAAAATTCGGAGTGTGGAAATTAGGAGAAGGTGTGGAGTTAATAAAAGTATTAGTCAGAGGGCAGAAGAGGGGTTGTTGAGGTGGTTTGGTCATTTAGAGAGAATGGATCAAAGTAGAATGACATGGAAAGCATATAAATCTATAGGGGAAGGAAGGCGGGGTAGGGGTCGTCCTCGAAAGGGTTGGAGAGAGGGGGTAAAGGTTTTGTGGGCAAGGGGCTTGGACTTCCAGCAAGCGTGCGTGAGCGTGTTAGATAGGAGTGAATGGAGACGAATGGTACTTGGGACCTGACGATCTGTTGGAGTGTGAGCAGAGTAATATTTAGTGAAGGGATTCAGGGAAACCGGTTATTTTCATATAGTCGGACTTGAGTCCTGGAAATGGGAAGTACAATGCCTGCACTTTAAAGGAGGGGTTTGGGATATTGGCAGTGTGGAGGGATATGTTGTGTATCTTTATATGTGTATGCTTCTAGACTGTTGTATTCTGAGCACCTCTGCAAAAACAGTGATAATGTGCGAGTGTGGTGAAAGTGTTGAATGATGATGAAAGTATTTTCTTTTTGGGGATTTTCTTTCTTTTTTGGGTCACCCTGCCTCGGTGGGAGACGACCGACTTGTTGAAAAAAAAAAAAAAAAAAAAAATCTATATATACATTTAAGCTCTCAGCTCAGCTAGGGCCAGCAGTTAGCATGTGTGATGTCACATGGTGCCAAATGTGAGCGTCAGTCGCCGTCCCTCTCCCTCGGTTCCCAGATAAACATACAGGCACGAAGAAGGCTAGTCTGGGCTTCCCCTCACGACTCTACAAATAGTGTTACCAGACATACCCAAGTGTATTACTACACCACCTTTATCTCCTAGAACCCTCCCCGTCACAGTGATCTGTTTAGTTTTTTAGGGCAATGTTTGTTATAGAGGTAGTTTTTTTTTTTTTTTTTTTAGAAAATTATTAATACATTCATCAGTATCTGTATATGTTTCGAGCTCATTATGCCAGTTGACATTAATCATAGCTGTTATAAAGTTATTAACTGCTGTCTCGTTATGTAGTCTGAAGGTAATTTTGGTAGTGTCTTGGGACAATTTACCTAGATTGGTTATGAGAAAGGTTGGGTAGTGGTCTGCGGTGTCGTCTGTGATTATACCTGATTTTAAAGGGGATATGGTGTTAGCCAGATGTGGTCTAATAAGGAGATTCTTGTCTCTTAGATTCTTGTAGGTTCTGTCATTGTTGGTAGCAACAAGCAGTTGCTCATAGTGTTTGTGAATTCGTTACTTGTGGGTCCTGGTCATGTAGGAGATTTGTGTTGAAATCTCCTGTGAGCAGCAAGTGGTCTTTCTTCATGTGTACATCAGATATCATGTTTCCTAGCTTTTCACTAAAATGGTAAATGTTTGACAGTGGTACTCTGTAGATGTTTATCATGCAACATGCAAGATGCAAGAGAACAAGGATTTTAAGATAGGTTCAAAATATTCCTTGTCACTATTATATATCAAAAGACTGCATAGTGAATTGCGTGATGGCAGAACTCTCATAATCGACGACTACCACTAGGTAGAACACTTTTCCCAATAAATAAGAGAACAACGAATTTAAGATAGGATAAAATAATTCCTCATTACTATTATGATTGTGAAAATTTTATAGCAAAACCTGACAACCATGAGAAACAAAGAATTTAAGGTAGGGTAAAATTCTTTATTTCTTTTGCACATTTTATAAAATTGTGTATTAAATTTACAATAGTCACTGACTGCTTATTAAGCCTCTCTATTTTCTCTATAAGGAAAGCCATGTCAATTTTCTCTGGAAGGATTAAAATGTATCCTATGTCAAACATTAGCTTTTGCTAGGCCTCCCTAAATGAGTTTATCTAACTCTTTAGTATTCCTATACCCTAAACAGGGTACAGTTTTAGGTCTACTACTCTGAGCCTTTACAAAGCCTAATCAGTGCAAAGGAAATTGTTAAGATTGCCATGAATTAATAGAGAAGTTCATCATCCTCAAGTAACAAATCAGACAGCCCTCTTTCCCATGTGGAGTGAGAAGTAGAGATGTTAAGCAGAGTAGTTATAGACCTGGAAGTGTTTCCCAATCATTCACAATCACTTGTATAAATAATAAATGAACCCACTTTTAAAAATTCATCAAAAACTATCAAAGACACAGCAAAAGTCAAGATTTAAAAGATCTTAGAATGGGCCATTCTATAACATACCAGAAATACCACACTTGGCTCCTCTCTGAGGACAGCAAGAAGTGAGCTTCTACATAACAATATGGGGAGCAAACAGCAACTGCACTCTGACTGTACCCTTCTCCAGAACATCAATTCATCCAAGATCATTTATTCCTAGGATGACTCATGTCTGGAACATGTTCGTACAGCATAACGACATCAATGAAATAAGTCAGCTGACCAAATGAAATCGCTGGCCCACAGATGGCTGGAACTTCATCCTGTTCCATACCTGTATATCTCTTAACAATAAAATGAGTTTCAGAGATGATGACAGTAACAGCTCTTAGCTTGTAAATAAAGTAAGGAACCCTAAACCTAACCTTATAAAACCATTTGTAATAAAAAGGAGCACATTCAAATCTTTTTCAACATTTCAATAACTGATCACTAATCAATTGAGTGGATTACATCCACTTAATCAGATCTTTCAACACAATAGATTTTTCACTAGAGTAGACCTCCTTTCCCCATATTTATCCATTTTATCAAACATTTACTGTACTGTGCTAATGATGTCAGCTAGATCTGTCTTAGTTATATCATGTACATTTCAAAATAAAGATTATTATTTTTATTATTATTATTATAGAAGTTTTCAGTGCTATTTCCAGCATTTTCAATCGCTCGCCAAAACTGAAGAACTCGTCTTCAGAATCTATATTTTTATTGTGGGAACTCTCAATGGGAAAAAGGTGTTTAATTTTCTGAGGAGTGAAAGTACTTCTGTGGCACAGCATGGAAGACAATGGCAAACTAAAATGGTGTTCCCATGATGCACTGTGAACAATGACCATACAAATCTGTTTTCTCATGTCTAGGCCTACCAGGCCTCTTGTGCCAAATCTGAAGCCACTAGAATTTGTGTAAATCTACATAAGCTACACTAGTCTCAATAACACAGATCTACATGGGAGACAGGAAAAGGGTTAATTATGAGCATCTATTTCTTTCAACACTTGAGGGTAACTGAAATGGCTTGAGCCATGGCATCAAAAATATATAATTAATAACTGGTTTAGAATTAAAAACTAACCATGAGCATCATGGTGAGGTACATCTTAAAGTAATAAACAGTTTCATCATACCTTGTCATTGCGCTCACAAAGAAATTTTAATTTCTGTGCTTTTTTGTGCATGAAGACTCCATCCAAGTGGCCAGTTTCTACAGAACGGATCTCAATAGCCTTGTTGCCCCATCCCATTATTTGCCCTGTGCCAATGAATGCTACAGATGTTGGCATTTCTCCCCACTGTAACATCATATTCTTGGTCACCTGCAAAAATTTGGAGTCATAATTTAAAAATTCTAATTTTACATCTTTATCCAATATCAATTATATTCATCACTTACCTCAAATATATTATAAAACTGCATAAACTTAGAAAAAAATACATGTGAAATCAAGAATACAGTGCTAAAAGGTGTAAAAACTAAATCTGTTAAATGTTGATATTTTAATATTCACTGCAATCCTCATCAGAGGCTTGCAAACATAATGAGCCAGTCTCTATTTATGAAAATAAAACATTCCCACCCCACTGTCGCAAGCTAGTTTTCTTTATTTTCTTCACTGATACTACCATGCTTACACTCCAAGCACCATCAGTCTAAACTGGCTGCATACAGGAGCTACAATGTCCACCAGATGCTTTTCAAAAAACCTGGACATTGGTAGTTCTCCGTGAATGAGTTCCTGATGCAAGCACTTTATTACAAATGACTACCTGTGACGTTAGACAAGATTGTATATGCATATGCATACAATGATCAGGATTTTTCTGGCTAGCAGAGAGATGAGCCTAAGTCAATCCCCTATGGATACAAGGTTTTGCCCAGAGCTTGTACAATTGATCTACTTCCATCAAAATTGGTATTTCTCTAGCAATTTGATTTAAAATAAATCTCTTATGTTGCAAACTGAGTTTTTTCTGTTTCACTGTTCTGCAGTTTGAATATTCTCCTTCATATCTGTGGCTGCTTCTGGCAAGACTTTGGGTACTGGTGGTAGGAATTCCATTGTGGCTCAAAGAGCTTGAACACAGCACTATGAAAAATGAAAAAAGGCTTCTATAAGGACTTTAGTTTTGGAATGGTTGGTGCTTTTTATTTAATGTATGGAAGAGGGGAAGATACCTAGGCAAAGAGGACAAGAGTGTGTGTAAAAATTATAGGGGAATAAGCCTACCGAGCATAGCTTGTAAAGTGTATGGTAAGGTTATTATTGAAAGAATTAAGAGTAAGAGAGAGAGCAGGATTGCAGATGAACAAGGAGGCTTTAGGAAGGGTAGGCATATGATAGGGTAGATAGGGTAGCAATGTGGCAGATGTTGCAAATGTTTGGAATAGGTGATGGGTCACTGAAAGCAGTTAGAGTTTTTATGTATGAGAGAAGTAGATTATCTCCCGGTAAAAGTAGGCCTTAGACAGGGATGAGTGATGTCACCATGGTTGTTCAACATATTTATAGATGGGGCTGTAAGAGAAGTGAATGCTCATGTGTTGGCAAGAGGTGTGGGATTAAGAGATAAAGAATCTAACACAAAGTGGGAGTTGTCACAGTTGCCTTTTGATGATGACACTTCTCTTCAGAGATTCTGAAGAGAAGTTGCAGAGGTTGGTGGACAAGTCTGGAAGGGTATGTAAAAGAAGGGAATGAAGTGAACATAGGAAAGAGCAATGTGATGAGGAAAACAAAAAGTTTAGGTAATGAAAGATTGGATATCAGATATATCAGATTGAGGGAGTATGGAGCAAGTGAATATATTCAGATATTTGGGAGTGGACTTATCACCAGATGGGTCTATGTACGATGAGGGGAATCACTGAAATGATGAGGGGAAAAACGTAAGTGGTGTACCGAGTTGTCTGTGCAGACAAAGAACATTATCTATGGAAGCAAAGAGGGGAATGTATGAGAGTATAGTGGTACCAGTGCTCTTATATGGGTGTAAAGCACGGGTGGTGAATGTTGCAACAACGAGAAGGCTGGAGGCAGTGGAGATGTCATGTCTGAGAGCAATATGTGATGTGAATATAATGCAGGGAATCCATAGCTTGGAGACTAGGAGGTGTGGGGTTTCTAAAAGTATTATCCAAAGACTGAGGAGGGGCTGCTGAGGTGGTTCGGACATTTAGAGATGATGAAACAAAATACAATGACTTGAAGGGCATATAAATCTGTAGTGGAAGGAAGGCGGGATAGGGATCGTCCTAGGAAAGGTTGGAGGAAGGAGGTAAAGGAGGTTTTGTGTGTGAGGGGCTTGGACTTCCAGCAAGCATGTGTGAGCATGTCAGATATGAGTGGAAACAAATGGTTTTTATGACTTGACATGCTGGTGGAGCATGAGTAAGGCAACATTTATGATGGGATTCAGGGAAAACTGGTTAGCCAGACTTGAATCCTGCACGTGGGAAGTACAGTGCCTGCACCCTGAAGAAGGGGTGTTGATATGCTGCAATTTTTAAACTGTAGTGTAGGCGCGCCTCTGGCAAGACAGTGGAGTGAATGGCAATGAAAGTGGTGTTTTCTTTTTTGGGTCACACTGCCTTGGTGGGAAACATCTGATGTATTAAAAGAAAAAAAAAGACTAATACACCACAATGTCTGCCATCTCTTGCCAGCTGTTCATCAACAAATTTTACTGAATAGGAGCTGTGAGCCTGTATGGTGTCTAATGATGAAACTAAAGGAAATGTCAATACACCTGAACATGAAAAATAAACAAGATGACTTTTTTCACATATTGGCCTTCTCCCACCAAGGAAGGTTACCGAAAAAGAAAAATTTAAGTTTTTCTTTTTACATTTAGTAATTTATACAGGAGGAGGAGTTACTAGCCCCTTGCTCCTGACATTTTGGTCGCCTCTTTCAACACGCATGGCTAACGGAGGAAGGAATTTTTTCCACTTCCCCATAAAGTTATTTTAAGACTATTACTTGTTATATAGGTTCAACAGACAAGTAGCAATTCTTATCATGGATCATGGAACCCTCACAGAAAGTTTTTTTTTTTTTTTTTTTTTTTTTTGTCTTCAAGTTGTTAAATTCTCAGGGAAAACGCTGATTTCTCTCGGTTTCACTTAAAACACCCTATATTTATGTTTTTTTTTTTCAACAAGTGGGCCGTCTCCCACCGAGGCAGGGTGACCCAAAAAGAAAGAAATCCCCAAAAAGAAAATAATTTCATCATCATTCAACACTTTCACCTCACTCACACATAATCACTGTTTTTGCAGAGGTGCTCAGAACACAACAGTTTAGAAGCATATATGTAAAAAGATACACAACATATCCCTCCAAACTGCTAATATCCCAAAACCCCTCCTTTAGAGTGCAGGCATTGTACTTCCCATTTCCAGGACTCAAGTCCGGCTATATAAAAATAACCGGTTTCCCTGAATCCCTTCACTAAATATTACCCTGCTCACACTCCAACAGATCGTCAGGTCCCAAATACCATTCGTCTCCATTCACTCCTATCGAACACGCTCATGTACGCCTGCTGGAAGTCCAAGCCCCTTGCCCACAAAACCTCCCTTACCCCTTCCTTCCAACCTTTTCGAGGATGACCCCTACCCCGCCTTCCTTCTCCTACAAATTTAAATGCTCTCCATGTCATTCTACTTTGATCCAGTCTCTCTAAATGACCAAACCACCTCAACAACCCCTCTTCAGCCCTCTGACTAATACTTTTATTAACTCCACACCTTCTCCTAATTTCCACACTCGAATTTTCTGCATAATATTTACACCACACATTGCCCTTAGACAGGACATCTCCACTGCCTCCAACCGCCTCCTTGCTGCTGCATTCACAACCCAAGCTTCACACCCATATAAGAGTGTTGGTACTACTATACTTTCATACATTCCCTTCTTTGCCTCCATAGATAACGTTTTTTGACTCCACATATACCTCAACGCACCACTCACCTTTTTTCCTTCATCAATTCTATGATTAACCTCATCCTTCATAAATCCATCCGCCGACACGTCAACTCCCAAGTATCTGAAAACATTCACTTCTTCCATACTCCTCCCCAATTTGATATCCAATTTTTCTTTATCTAAATCATTTGATACCCTCATCACCTTACTCTTTTCTATGTTCACTTTCAATTTTCTACCTTCACACACACTCCCAAACTCATCCACTAACCTTTGCAATTTTTCTTTAGAATCTCCCATAAGCACAGTATCATCAGCAAAAAGTAACTGTGTCAATTCCCATTTTATGTTGTCAGCTCGAATTCTCTAATGTAGATACTGTCCAAAGTATTTTTATCCATAGATTATCTGTTGCCCAGAGATGATAGTATCATTTTTTCATGTAGCTTTGTCTTCTCTCCTAATCCATTTTATTATATTTTTGAAACTTTATTTATAAAACTAGTTTGCTGTCTAGTGTTGAATCAATCTTACATATTACTGGATTATCAATGTTGTTATTGTTCACTTCAGGGAACTTACCAAATTTCTTAATATTCTTCAAGTTAACTATAAATATCAGTAATCTAAATACAGTGGAGCCTCGGTTTTCATTTGCCCTCATTTTTATTGAATTCGGTTTTTGACAACTTTTTCGTCAAAATTTTGTCCCAGTTTTCGTTCATCGTCTCAGTTTTCATCAAGCTGACAGTGTTCCGCCGTACCGAACGTGTCTGCCCGCACCTACACAAAGCATCCCACATGTTCTGAGTCAGTCTGGCTCTGCTTCTCGTTGGAAGAGGGTGGTAGTGATGGTGGTAGAGGGCGGTAGTGATTGTGATGGTGGTAGAGGGTGGTAGTGGTTATGATGGTGGTAGAGAGTAGTAGTGATTATGATGGTGGTAGAGGGTGGTAGTGATTGTGATAGGGGGTGGTAGTGATTGTGGTAGAGGGTGGTAGTGATGGTGGTAGAGATAACCTCTCCTCCCTCTCCACTACTAGCTGTCTTGCATACACCAACAAGTCTTCAATAAAGGTAAAAGTGATGTTAAATGTTCATTTATCCATTTCATTAGTCCTTTATACAGTGGAACCTCAAAAATCGGACTTAATCCGTTCCAGGAGCTAGTTCTAATTTCAAAAAGTCTGAAATTCGAAGCAATATTTCCCATAAGAAATAATGGAAATACAATTAATTCGTTCCAGAAACCCAAAAATATTCACACAAAAAATACATTTTATAGAGATTAATTACAGTTTTACATACAACAAATACTATAGTTTTTAATTATGTATAGTAATACATATAAAATAACATTTTTACTTACCTTTATTGAAGACTGGTGATGGCATCTGGAAGATAGGGAGGAGGAGAGAGGGAGTTGGGGTTAGTGTTTGGAAGGAGGATCCCCCTCCATGAGGACTTCAGGTAAAGCCCTCTCTGGGGTTACTTCCCTTCTCTGTCTTTTAATGCCACTAGGACCAGCTTGAGAGTCACTGGACCCCTGTCTCACAAAATAACTGTCCACAGTCCTCTGTTTCTGGTGCCTCTTTAACATTTCCCTAAAATGGGACATGGTTCTGTCACTGAACTTGTTGCAGAGATGGCTTGTTTCAGCTTGCTCAGGGTGGTACTTCTGCACAAACATTTGGACATCATTCCACTTGGCACAAATCTCCTTAATCTTTGAAGAAGGCACCTCATCCACTCCCTCTTCCTCCTCCTCTGAAGCAAGTTCCTCAGCTGTGGTCTGATACTGCTCCAGATGAAGCTCTTGCAGCTCTTCAGTGGTTAGCTCTTCCCTGTGGTCCTCCACCAACTCTTCCACATCCTCACCACTCACCTCCAACCCCAGGGTGTTCCCCAATGCCACAATAGAGTCCACAGCAGGCAGAGGGTCAGCTGGGTCAGGGTCAGCCTGAAACCCTTCAAAATCCCTCTTTGGACACAATCTGGCCACTATTGTCTCCAAGCAGAGTTCAAAGTCCTGGAAGTCCTTCCTTCTTCACATCTATGGTGTTTCTCGCTTTCTTTACCACAGGGATACCATTAGCAAGTTTCTTTGGGCCCATGGCAGCTTATTTCACAGTCCCACAAGCACTAAACACAACGAAATAATCGTAAAATGTGTGAATGAGAGTGCAGGTTAGTATTCACTCAAGCATAAACAAAGCTAGACTGCTCACGGCGCCTGCGCGGGGACGTGGACAGAGCGGGCCGGCAGACAGGTCCCATACCCAGCGGTCTGAAATTAGGGGCGCGTTCGATAATAGGGACACAGTTTGTCCGAAAAAATGGTCTTATTTTCGAAACGTTTGATATTTGATACGTTCGATTTTTGAGGTTCCACTGTATTTATTTCTCACTGTTTTCTGTAGGTAAAACTAGTTATTCTCTATAAAATGTTTTTTTTTTTTCAATACTTTTGGGTGTCTAAATGGATTAATATTGCTTCAGTTTTCGTCGAATTTGGTTTTTGTCAGACTTTCTAAAATGAATTAATGACAAAAACCGAGGTTCCATTGTACTATTTAACAAAAAAAAAACCTCTTTGCACTTAAATTTGGCATTTATATCTCACCAGCTTCAAATGCAATACCCTAGAAATATTTCCTCAACTTTAGCTCATATTGTGTTATTTATCTTTCATTAACAGTTGTGTGTCCCCCTAAGTAAAATTTAAAAAAAAAAAAAAAAAAAAAATTACAATACCTTTCCATAGGTGTTTACATAAACACCCTCATTATCATAACAGATGAGCAGCTGAAGACCATTGCTGTTGGGTAGTGTGACTATTGTGTGAGGAGTGATGTTACCTTGGATCTGAAAATAACAACACATTTACATAATCATAGAATTTATAGCATAGGTTTAAGACAGAATACAAGGAAGAAAACATACCTAATTTGACAACAACATGATGTGAATATAAGAATTTCACTGTCCATCGAATTAAAAGGTATTTTTTTCTGAATGCATGAGGTTGCAGGATGTTGGGAATGGATTCAACAACTTTGTTGATAAGACACCTAGACTTGCCAACTGTTCCTAGAATCTTCAGTATTATTACCATGCACAAGCATTGAAAATTTGATGCCTATCAGATGAGACCTTCCCATGTTATTAGCAAAGTTAAAAGGAAACGTAGATGAAAATTTTTTTCAGGCAACCACGGCATTCTGCCAATCTGGCAGTTTTCAATAATATCCATTTTTTATTATGTTTGGCGTTTGTTCCAGTGGCGTTGTAAGGAGGGGGTCGCCCCAGGTGATACCATCTAGGGGTGGCACCATAGAGACTCTGAAGGTGACACTAATGCCCACAACAGCACTGCAGCAACATGAGAGAAGAATCCTTCATTTCTGTATACAGTAGACCGTCATTTAGCACAAGTTTATTTGGTATGATTCACGTATAGCATGACTGAAGAATTGCTGCACAATTTTATATAACACATCGTAAAATTAATTTAACATGGCTCAGTTTGCAGGAAGGAATAAAAACATCCCTATTCCTCAAGCAGCCACCTTGTTGTGGATCAGAAGGGGACACCTCCAGCAATCCCTTGCCACCATCCGACACCACCCCACCAATCCCTTGCCACCATCCGACACCACCCCACCAATCCCCTGCCACGATCCGACAACGCCCCACCAATCCCAGCATTCATACTTCATGCGTGTCCACTTAGTTATCATTTTGTCCTAGGCACATGTTGATTAGACACTAGGCCTGTTGTATATGTATGTGTGTGTGCGCGCGTGCATGTGTGTGGGGTGTGTGTGTGGGGTGTGTGTTGTGGTGTGTGTGGTGTGTGGTGGTGTGTGTGTGGTGTGTGTGTGTGTGTTTGAGTGGTGTGTGTGTGTGTGTGAGTGTGTGTGTGTGTGTGTGTGTGTGTGTGTGTGTGTGTGTGGTGGTGTGTGTGTGTGTGTTTTGTGTGTGTGTGTGGTGTGTGTGTGGTGTGTGTGTGTGTGTGTGTGTGTGGTGTGTGTGTGGTGTGTGTGTGGTGTGTGTGTGTGTGTGTGTGTGTGTGTGGTGTGTGTGTGTGTGTGTGTGTGTGTGTGTGTTGTGTGTGTGTGTGTGTGTGGTGTGTGTGTGTGTGTGTGTGTGTGGTGTTGTGTGTGGTGGGGTGTGTGTGGTGTGTGTGTGTGTGTGTGTGTGGTTTGTTTGGTGGTGTGTGTGGTGTGTGTGTGTGTGGTGTGTGTGTGTGTGTGTGTGGTGTGTGTGTGTGTGTGTGTGTGTGTGTGTGTGTGTAGTACATTTTGTTGGTGTCGATGTGGTGTTGTATGGTGTGGTGTGGGTGGTGTGTGGTGTGTGTGGTGTGGGGTGTGTGTGGTGGGGGTGGGGTGTGTGTGGTGTGTGTGGTGTGGTGGTGTGGGTGGTGTGTGGTGTGTGGTGTGTGTGGTGGTGTGGGTGTGTGTGGTGTGGTGTGGTGTGTGGGTGGTGGTGGGTGTGTGGTGGGTGGGTGGTGGGGGGTGTGGTGTGTGGTGGTGTGTGGTGTGGTGTGTGGGGGGGGTGTGGTGTGGGTGGTGTGTGTGGTGGTGTGGGGTGTGGTGTGTGGGTGGGTGTGGGTGTGGGTGTGGTGTGGTGGTGGTGTGGGGTGTGGGTGTGGGGTGGTGTGTGGGTGGGTGGTGGGGTGGGTGGTGTGGTGTGTGGGTGTGTGTGGTGGTGGTGTGGGTGGTGGGGTGGGTGTGGTGGTGTGGGTGGTGGTGGTGTGTGGGTGTGGTGTGGGTGTGTGTGTGTGTGTGTGTGTGGGGTGGTGGGGTGGGGTGTGGTGTGTGGGTGGGTGGGTGGTGGGGTGGGTGGGTGTGGGGTGGTGGGTGTGTGGGTGGGGTGGGTGGTGTGGGTGTGTGGTGTGGTGGGTGGTGGGTGGTGGGGTGGTGGTGGGGTGGGGGTGTGGTGGGTGTGTGGGGGGGTGGTGGTGTGTGGGTGGGTGGTGTGGTGTGTGGGTGTGTGGGTGGTGTGTGGTGGTGTGGTGTGTGTGGTGTGTGTGGTGGTGGTGTGTGGGTGGTGTGGCTGGGTGGGTGTGTGTGGTGGTTGTGGGTGTCTGGTGGTGGGTGTGGTTCTTCTTCTTCTCCTCCGTCCTCGTTCCTTCCTTCCCTCTCTTTCTTCTCCCCCTCCTTCTCTCCTTCTTCTCCTCTTCCTCCTTCTTCTTCTCCTCTTCCTCCTTCTTCTCCTCTTCCTCCTTCTTCTCCTTTCCTTTCCTCCTTCTTCTCTCCTCGTCTCTTCTTCTCCTCCTTCTCCTCTTCCTCCTTCTTCTCCTCTTCCTCCCCTCTTCCTCTTCTTCTCCTCTTCCTCCTCCTCTCTCTTCCTCCTTTCTCCTCTTCCTCCTCCTCTTCTCCTCTTCCTCCTCTTCTCTTCCTCCTTCTTCTTCTCCTCTTTCCTTCTTCTCTTCTTCTCCTTCTTCTTTCTCTTCTCCTTCTTCTTTCCTCTTCCTTCTTCTTCTTCTCTTCTTCTTTCTTCTCTTCTTCTTCTTCTTCTTCTTTCTTCCTTCTCCTCCTCCTTCTCCTCTTCCTCCTCCTCCTCTTCCTCCTTCTTCTCCTCCTTCTTCTCCTTCTTCTTCTTCTCCTTCTTCTTCTTCTTCTTCTTCTCCTTCTTCTTCTCCTTCTTCTTCTCCTTCTTCTCCTCCTCCTTTTCCTTCTTCTCCTCCTCCTCTTTCTTCTTGTTCTCCTCCTCCTCCTCCTTCTTCTTCTCCTCCTCCTCCTTCTCCTTCTTCTTCTCCTCCTCCTTCACCTTCTTCTTCTCCTCCTTCTCCTTCTTCTCTTTCTTCTCCTTCTCCTCCTCCTCCTTCTTCTTCTTCTTCTTCTCCTTCTTCGCCTCCTCTTTGTCCTTCGCCTCCTCTTCGTCCTTCGCCTCCTCCTCGTCCTTAGCCTCCTCCTTTTCCTTCGCCTCCTCCTCGTCCTTTGCCTCCTTTGCATCCTCCTCCTCCTCCTTTGCCTCCTCTTCCTTCTCTTTCTCCTTCTCCTTCTCCTCTTCCTCCTCCTCCTCTTCCTCTTCCTCCTCTTCCTATTCCTCCTTCTCCTCCTCGTCCTCCTCCTCCTCTTCCTCATTATTATTATATACTTCCACATATGCAAAACATTTTTGGGATCTATAAAAACTTTGTATATATTCCAAGACAATAGTAAATGACTAAGGCAAGTGTAAATGTCCACCTGTCAGTGTGCTTGTGATAATGTGAGTACAATTTCAGTACCTAATACTAGTGTCAGAACAAAGATTGGTTATAAAATGACAAGAACTACTATAAATTGTAATTATCAGAACATAAAAATTACATAAAATAATATGAAAATAGAAAAAAAGGTATATCAGCAACAGTTCTGCAGGCAGCAGGACTCCATGTTGCTGTCACGTGAGCATCCAGTGCCAACTTCTCAGCCTCATATCTCTAAGTACTGACCCTAATTTTTTTTTTTATCCTATAACACTTGGAAAAATTTGCTCTTTATTTTCATTAAAAAAAAAAAACTATTTTTTTTTATTTTTTAAAATATTTGTGGCACTGGGCTAGTGAACGTTTATATACGTTTGGACCATTTACTGGTTAAGCGAGGAGTACCTGTATGTATATATACATAGTGCGCCAGACTCGCCATGGAATGTTTCAGAAAGTGTGAGTGGGTGGTTATAAAACAGGGTGTAAATGTGGGTGGGTGAGTACGTGGGTGAGTATGAGAGAGTAGGTGAGTGAATGTGATAGGGTAGGCGAGTTGGTGAGTTAATACGAGAGTGTAAGTGGGTGAATGTGAGAGGGTGGGTATGTAGGTTGGTGGGTTAATGGGAGAGGATGGGTGGGTAGATAACTGGATGAATGGGAGAGGGTGGGTGGATAGATAACTGGATGAATGGGAGGGTGGGAAGACAGGTGGATGAATGGTAGAGGGTGGGCTGGAAGACAGGTGGATGAATGGGAGAGGATGGGTGGGTAGACAACTGGATGAATGGGAGAGGGTGGGTGGATAGATAACTGGATGAATGGGAGGGTGGGTAGAAAGGTGGATGAGTGGTAGAGGGTGGGCTGGAAGACAGGTGAATGAGTGGAAGAAAGTGGGTGGGTGGGTAGATTGATGGGTGAATGGGAGAGGGTGGGTGGATGGACAGGTGGGTGAAGGCAGTGAAGACAAGAATGAACATGTCTTATACAGGAACATCTCTCCTGGACTCCCCCCTCCTCACCCTATACCAGCACTTCCCTTCCACTCATCTTTCTATTTTTTATCAGAATTACTGCTGCAATTGAGTTTTATGCTAAAAGTAAGGTAAATTATGATATTTTTGTGAAGTACTTAATACATATTTTAACAAAAAAAAATTGAACTTTTTCAAGGAATGCTTGAATACACAATGCAAATAATAAATCTAAGTACAGATTATCAACAATCTCTCCCCTGAAAAAAAAAAAATAGAGGGAAGCCAACCCTCCCCCCAATCCATTCCTGCTCCTCTTCCAAGGTCTGAGTCCTTTATTGGCTGGTGGCTATCCACCCACTCATCCTCCATTCCTCTCCCACGTCTGACAACCATCACGGCTAACACAATGTAAAAAATAAATTCTATAGCTCTTCATCAATCTTTACCAGATTAATGTATGCTCTTTATACATACATATAAGGTACACACATGAAGTATAAATTCATTAGGCCTGGTCATGGACTGGGCCGTGGGGACGTTGATCCCCGGAATAACCTCCAGGTAACCAGGTATGACCTCCAGGTAAGATAAAAAAAAAAAAATATTTACAAGGGGGATTACCAACAGACTGCTGGCCGTCTTCAAGAAGGCACTGGACAGGCACCTAAAGTCAGTACCTGACCAACCAG